ATAACGTTACTGTATGTCTCATAATGTCCGACATACATTAGTGCAGATATATCTTAAATCAAGACAACCTATGTCTACATATGAAACTCAAAATACCACCAATGTACTAAATGGAAGAATTGCTCTTCATTATATGTTGTCTGTTATCTGTAATTATACATGTTATATGTTTATGCCCATTGGGCCCTGATTTGGTAATAAATCCTATTCTATTCTATTCTATTCATTAAATCAGGGGTATGGGTATGTCGAGTTCACACGTAAAATTACACTCAACAAATACGTACCTCACGATCTAACCTTAGGGATCGTCCTAGTCGTCTGCTTCAATTCTGACGTTCTCGTGAGAACACGTGCTTGTGTTTACATCTCGTGAAAATCTCGTTTGAGAAAAACTAAAAAAAATAATCTCATACGTAATTTGAAGCGTATTTTGTCCTTTTTTTCTTCTCTGTCGATATGTTTATTACATTTTAAAAAGAGCATATTTTTGTTGGTTATTTTTGTTCATCAACTGAAGGGAGGTAACTCTGATTTTATTTTTGGCAAATGCCTTATTTGGAGAGTGGGTGACCCGGAAATATTCCTGTACCTCGAAAGAAGAAGACGGGACGAATAAAACACGGTATATTGTTTAGTTTTTGGTATACTTATTACCTTTTTACTGTTTACCTCTGACTCTACAAAGTCTTTGATACTCAGTAATTTATTTGTGTTGACAGTTTTCGATTTTCTATGATTCAAGTGAATTTTTGTATAGTTATTTACTTCCTTTTTCACAACAACTGTACTTGTCAGGTTTGTAATATCGCTTTATCTATTTATAGAGCACCTAAAATTAAATATGTACACTATGACAGATTTTCTAGATACGAGTACATATACTGGTATAGTGATGTTACATCATGAACTCTGTCTATATTCTCTCAATCACCTGGTCACATAAAGATTGAGTTCTTAATGTTTCTCAGTGTATCAAAATGTTCAGAGAAAGGTTAAAGTAATATATTAAGTTTCCTTATTCAGGTACTTAGGGATAAAAAGGAATTTTAAAAATAATATGATGCAGTTGGACTGATGTTTGTTATTATTTTGAATAAAATCATCTAATTAAAAGGATTTTGGGGGGAAAAACATTTGATGAAATCTGAGATAAATTAGATTGCTGCTAACATTTTACTCTCAGATGCAGAGGTACATGTACTGATTACAGCTGTATTTCTGAGCATTTTCTACCAATGGTCACAGGTTTAGATCTTCCCCATGTTTTAAATGAAATATTATTTACAAGGTAAAATAGATTACATGTATATTAATTGTTATGGTTAACATATGAGTGTTTAATAGCACATACTGTTGGTTACATTAGATCTGAGAGTTGGAAGCTTACGAACAGCTGATAGACAGCAATATGCAAACCTACAGTTGATTGGTATATTTACCAGTGCAGGAGTCTGAAATGCAGAAGTTAAGTGATTATAGTATTGCAGTGTAATGAAGAGGAAAGATATGCATGAATAGATTTGGGGCAATGAATTATAGATAAGAATGGAAATCAATATGTATACTCTTTGACTAAGAAGCATCAGTTTCTTATGATTAGCACTGAGTGATTGGTAAACTGATGTGTGAATACTGTGTTGCTTAATTTACTTGCATATATGATCATGATGATTCTGTCACAGGTAATTTAATTCTTCCCGCTGAATGAAGTACCATGTAAAACATGTTATATTGTTTTGCCTTTGTTTTTTTTCATAATAGTAAATGATTATTTACACTCCCTATTGTTAAATTCTTTTGCAGGCTTACTTTACAGTAGAACTTAAACCATTACCTTAAACATGTTAAATATATAGATATTATTATAAAGGCTGGGAAGGCAATTATTAAATTGCCTATAGATCATTGTGGGTTCAGAAAGAAGCTTAAAGCTTACTTAAAATGTCTATATTAGTAGATGCTCTGAGGTACATTTGAGTTATTCTGCTGAAGCAGTGAATACTTGTACTATACATGTATTATAATATTTACAACTTGAACAGATAGTCTAAAATTTTCAAACAGAAGGTTGATTACTAAAAATGCATTTTGCTCACACAGTGCCTTATTCACAATAAAATTAAGCTTTTTGTGATCTCTTGACATGTTCTGAATCATGAGCAAGTTACATATGATGAAGTAGGAGGCTCTGTGAGGCTATTTATGTCATGTCCTTCTGTTAAATATTGTCCAATGCAATGTTGTAAGCAGAAAGGTCAACTAAAATGAAGGAAAGACCAGCATTAGGTGCTTTTCTAGAGTATTAATAAGATCAGTTAACAAAGTAAGAAATGTTAATGTGTTGTCTATTGCAATGGTGTGGTATGGACACTTGAGGTTTATAAGTAGAATATATGTCATGCTCCCCAGTTTGTGTTTTTAAATTAACATGATCCAATTCAATACTACCTCTTATTTGAATTTAAGCTGTAACCCACCCACCCCAACCCCCAATTAGTTATTTATCTGTTTTTTGACAATGCAGCGGTAAAAAAAAAAAGGAACCTGTTTTGGCTGATTCTAAAGTAAAACACATGTGATGACTTGAACATTTATTCAAACTCATGCATCCATTATCCCTTAATAATGAGATAAAAAATATAACAGCTTGTGAGATAGCATCTCTTGTACTTAATTAAGAAAACAAAATAACAGTATGGAAAATGAAGTTTTATGATTCATTTAAAGATAAGAGAGACCCAGAAAAAGATGGAGTAGATTAATATAATGATCTGAGAAATGTATAGTCTACATGCAGCCTTTGTGAATATATGCTTGTAAATGATATGAATACCAGAGTATTTTTATATCTGACAAAAGCCTTCAAGCTCCACAAGACCATAGGGAAATTTAAAAAAAAAGAACAATGCTAGCATATTTTTCGGTATATTATGAGGTTTTTGCCTGGGAAACAGATGGGAGGCTTTGACATTGACATGATATTTAAGGGATAACCATGTGCAGGTTTTGTCACAGGCACAGCTGAGTCGAAGAGATTCATGATGCACCTATATAAAAAAGTTTCCCACAACTGTACCTTACATTCTGAATGAATGGGAACACAGTCGGATAGGTTAGAGATAGTTCTGGATAATCATGTCATCCTGTTGTTATGTCAGAGATCAATTAGAAGGATTCTTGATCAATTCTGAATACAGTTACACTGTACATTAATAATGAGATGAGTTTTGTATGGCATTATGTTTATGAGTTTGTTGATGTTTCCATTGATCAGTGTAGACAATATAATTAGCTCACCTCAACGAAAGGGGGGGGGGGGGGGTATGTAATACCCTTGGCATTGGTGTCCTAGGTAAAAGTTTTTGGAGCACATTTCTTTTCAAGTACTTCTATGCCCTATTTTAATCAGAGGTGCATGGAAAATGCCTCTAGTATGTTTCATTGTACCAGACAAGTTTTCAGTTGCTGCAATTTTAGCTAAAGAATGACCAGGTCAATGTTTTTGGAGCAGGTTGAAGTTTTTGGAGCAGGTCTCACTTCCTAGTAATTATGAGCCCTATATTGACCAAACTTGCATGAATGATACATCTAAGGACGCACACTACCAGACTTGCTTCAGATGCTGGATCTGACCTACATTTTCCAGATGAGTGACCAGGTTTAAGTTTTTGGAGCAGATCTCATGTTGACCAACTTGCATGGATGATATATCTGAGGATGCACACTACCAGGCTTGCTTTGGATGCTGGATCTGACCTACATATTCCAGATGAGTGACCAGGTCCATTGGACCATTTGGAGCAAGTCCATTACCAAGAAACTACAAGGCCTATCTGAACCAAACTTGCATGGATGATGCATCGAGGGATGAACACTCTCAGACTTGCTTCAGATGCTGGATTTGACTTACATTTTCTGGATAAGTGACTAGTTTAAAGTTTTTAGATAAGTCCATTTCCAGGTAATTGCAAGCCCTATCAGACAAAATTGCATAAATGTTGCAAATAGGGATGTACAGTACTAGATTATTAGTTTAGTGTGGGACTTTGCCTTACTTTAAGACAACATTTGTTGAGGTGAGCTCTGTAATCTCCAATTACCTATGTTTATATGATACATAACTTTTGTCAATCACTTTGATAAACCTAACAAAGGAAACATAGATTCAACTGAAGTGCTTGAAAGACAAGTCATTGACTCTTTCTTAAGAGCTTGACAAGGTTACAATTAAACCACCAAGTCTATAATTATCAGTTATGTACTGTTTCTGGTTAGGGTGGAGTGCAGGGGCTTGTCACCCATTTTGTTACCAAATATCATGTGTACTGTAGATATTACTTTCAATTACAAAACAAACTTTAAGCCCTTTTGGGGAGGAGGTTTCTCTAGTACTTGTAAGTACACTGTTATTGCACATTACAGGGTATTTTCCATTTATTGAGATCAGGATTTATGGATTTGTTACAGTTAGTTCAGATAAATCATAATTTTTTAGTGTATCAAACTTCCATGGAAAGTTTGCCATGAGTTTTAATGTTGATGTAACTTTTGTTTTAAGTCTAATGACTTAACAATATAAATATCTAATACTCTAAAAGAAAAACAGTTAAGATTATGTATGCATTTGCAGAGAAACCCATTAAGTTCTATTTTCAAAAAAGGTAGATTCCATTAGAAATTTCAGTGCCTTTGTTTCTTTATACCCTGAATAAAAAAAACAAACAACTTTAAATATTCTTGTCATTGTCCTCTATGAAGGAAATTCTAAATATGTCAGATTTATTGAAAGTACAACAGATCTTGAGATTTTTTTTATAAGTCAATAAAATGACAAGGAAGTAACATTTCCCACTCATTTTTTTTCATTTGGAAACAAAACACTGGCAGGAAGTTTGTATTATTTAATAGTGGATAAAATTTAATTTGCATACTTAATGTTTTATGTCATGAAACATAGTCATTTAAATGGTTTTGTTAAATTTTCTTTTCAGATCAGATCCTAGAATAATTAAAGATTGGCTGGAGGTTCAGAGACGCCAGCTTTAAAGTGATTTAACAAGGTACCACTGTTAGTTAATGGTTTCAATTAGGAAAATTTTTATCGGTAAACAACACTTCATTTGAAAAAAATGGGGCTGATTCTTAGTAATTCAACAAGTCTTTGAGGAAGTGAAGTCAAAAGATTAGGATGAAACTTCCTGGTCATTTGATGGGAAATTAAAGACATGTATTATCATCAGTGTTTACAATTGAGATGTTGAAATTTTGCCCAGTTTCAGTTAAAAAGGAAATGGGTGTTCTAATTAACATCTAAAAGAGCTGTGGATTTCTGTATCTAAATTTGAATTTTGCCTGATCTTTTAATTTACTAGAAACTTAGATGTTATGAGGCACAGTCTTGAAAACTTACGGAAAAACAATACCAGAAACATGTATAAATTATCTCTTCCTGAAATAAGAATTGAGGAAGACTGTTACATGTCGAAGTATTGATTAACCCTGTATATATAAACATGTAAAGCCTATATGTGTTAAACCTTAGCATGAATAGAAATGATTTGATAATGCGATATCATGGCTAATTACTGTATTGATATTTGTTCATCCTCACATTAATCTGTAAATGGTAAAGTGCATTTAGAGTGTTATTCTTGATGATCATTGAGAGGTTGTCAGCTGTATGTAAGTATTATTATGATGATGTGGGTACAATCTTACAGAATTATGGCATATACTATGCAACTTGTAATCATGGGGGCCTGAATCATTATGGAAAGAAAATGTGAGAGGGTTATTTTGTACATGTATTGTTTTTCAGTTTAACAGAAACCAGTTAGCCTTGCACATGCACTTGTCACATTTATGGGTGTATGTTTATTAGCTCACCTGAGCCGAAGGCTCAAGTGAGCTTTTCTGATTGAAGAGTGTCCAGTATCCGTCTGTCGTGTGTTGTCTGTAATTTTTTCACATTTTCAACTTCTTTTCCAAAACCAATGAGTCAACTTCAACCAAACTTGCCACAAAGCATCCTTGGGTGAAGGGGATTCAAGGTGGTTAACAGGAAGTGCCACATCCTCTTTCAAGGGGAGATAATTAAGACTTTGTGAAAATTTGATGGCATCTTTAAAAAACTTCTCAAGAACCACTGGACCAGAGAAGATGAAACTTATGTGAGAGCTTCATTATATATTGTAGATTTAAATTTGTTCATATATTGACCCCTGGGGGAAGAGCGGGGCCACAACAGGGGGTCAAAGGTTTACATTAATATATAGGGAAAATCTTTAAAAATCTTTTTCTCAAGAACAGCAAAGCCATTATTAGTCATATTTATCCCTTAATATATAGGGAAAATCTTTAAAAATCTTTTTCTCAAGAACAGCAAAGCCATTATTAGTCATATTTATACAGAAGCAACCTCAGGTAGTGTTGTTTCAAGTAGTTTCTACATATTATGACCCCTTGGGGTAAGACGGGGCCTCAAAAAGCGGTAAATTTTTTACACAGGAATATTTTTGAAATATCTTTTAAAAAGTCTTTTTTTTCAAGAAGGGTAAAGCCATGATTAGTCATATGAATACAGAAGCATCCTCAGGTAGTGTAGATTCAAGATTGTTTAAGTCATTACCCCTGGGGTAGGGTGGGGCCACAACAGGGGATCAGTGTTTTGCATGGGAATATCTGGAGGAAATATCTTTAAAAATCTTCTTCTCACAAGCAGCAAAACCATGTTCAGTCATATTTAAATGAAATCATCCTCAGGTAGTGTAGATTAAAATTTGTTAAAATCATGACCCCTGGATGTAGGGTGGAACAGAAATGAGGGGATAGAAGTTTAACATGGGAATATATAGGAGAAATGTTTAAAAATCTTTTACCCAGGAACAGCAAAGCCATGATTAGTGATATTTAGACAAAAGCATTTGCTGGTAGTGTAGTTTCAAATTTGTTCAAATCTTGACCCTCAGGAGCAGGGTGTGGCCACAAATGGCAATCAAAGTTTTACATAGGAATATGTAGGAAAAATCTTTAAAAGTCTTTTTTCTCAACAACAGCAAATTCATGATTAGTCATATTTATATGGAAGCATCCTCAGGTAGTGTAGATTGAAATTTGTTCAAATCATTACCCCTTAGGGTAGGGTGGGTTCATAAAAAGTGATCAAAGTTTTACATAAAATTATGTAGGAAAAAGAATCTGCTGATGAGGAATAGAAGGGCTATGGTTACTCAGGTAAGCATTATGGCCCATGGGCCTTTTGTTATATAATGAATTAATATGGTCAAAGGGTGTTGCATTTTCATTATGTAGTTACATAGATAATCAATTAAACATTTAACAAAATGTGTACCATTCACTATTGAGATAGCCAAAGTGATATTTTATGTAATTACCTCATAGATACATAATAAACACAAAGTGTTTTAGGTGAATATGAAACAAAGCAGGAATTCTTGTTCTACTCCTAGTTCTGTTTAATACAAACAGGAAAATCTGATAGGACTACTTCCATGTGGCTTTTTCACTAGCACTTGAAATCAGGAAATGAGGCTGTGAATTTTAATTATTCAGCATGTAGATTGTTTAAAAGGGTAAGAGACAAATAATTGATTAACACATATGTACTCCATGCTTGTAAGTCCAAAAAGTGTTGTTTGTGAGGAACAATTTCAAATATTGGTGCATTTTTGTTTTTGATATTTATCAACATTCAGTTGTATTTTGAAGCTTGTGTGTATAAAATGGGAAGGCTTTATTTGATAGAGGTCAAGGTTTTATTTCAGGTCAAGGTCATAATTAGATGTCAAAGATCAAAGGGCAGTATGTGTTTATTCAGTTAACAGTTGTGATTTGTAAAAATTAACTGAAAAAATGTGATATTTTGTACCATACTAGTGGTATCAGCAGAAGCATAATTTTTCATGAAGGGATCTAATATTGCATGCTTTGTTTGCAGATACAAAGTGTGATTCACTGCTTAGGTTATAAAAAATGCAAAAACCTAGGTGATAATATATATAGATTGTATTATTATGCATGATTTAAATACTACCATATATATGTCATGTTTTGATTTTACAGAATTGCCATATTACTATGGGAAATTTGTTAAAGATTCTGTGGCGAGATGAAAACACATCATCAAACAAATATGACATTTTTGTAGATTTTGAAAGTAAGTGTATGCTGTTATGAAAGATGTAACCTAAATTTCCTCTGGTCATGATTTTTACAGCTGTATCCTGCCATCTGTAATGGGAAATTTGTTAAAAGTATTATGTCAGGCCGACTCCTCTGCTTCCAGAGACTATGACATTTTTGTTGACTTTGAGAGTAAGTTTCTTACCAAAACACTGAGGTGCCTGAATCCCACTGAATGTTGTCAATTTTTTTTTCTCCAACTACTTTGCCTGACTGCTTTTTAGATTGAATGGGCAACCTTATTAACATCCACATTACAACAGTACATATCAGTGAATATAGATTAGGGGGAAAAGATATTTCAATTTTTAAGGTTATACATTGTCTTAGAAAATTTTTATTAGAATAAGCTGGTGGAAATGCCTATTTCTTTCATGGACATATTCAAAACTAATTGCTTGACATGTTAAAACCAAAAACATTTTTAGCAATATCAGTTGAGTCAAAAGGCATTTTTTTATACTATACTTAGGTTTGAATTAAATGTTTGACCATTGTTTTTTTTAGTTTGTCTAAATTTAATTTTCACAAGTCACCAATGAAAGTTAAGTTCTTCAACAACTAAAGCTCACTCATTGGTTCAGGTGTTGGCATAATGGGGGCATTTTACTATAAGAAAAATGAGTAGTACCAAGGAAAAACCAATATGCCTGAGTTGGCATTTAAAACCATTATAACCTTCTGACATATACATGTAGTGTCATTGTAGATAGGAGGATTGATTGATTTTGAAAAGTAAACTAAGCGATTTGCAGCTTAAAAATGCAGTTTTTTTTTTAAAAATCTGATTTGAGTGAATTTTAGTACAAATATCAACTTCAAAATAAGAAATGAAAAAATCTGTTAGGTATTTCAAGTATTTCAGTAGAGCTATGGATATATTAAAGACTTCTAGTTTGAAGGATCAGCCCAATATCAGTCAAGCTTAAAATATTTTATTGATGAAGGATTACCTTGATAAAATTACTCAGGAAATCTAAGAAAACATCATTCAAATCTTTTTAGCTCACCTGAGCTTAAGCTCAAGTGAGCTTTTCTGATCACCCCTTGTCCATCGTCCATCCATCTGTCTGTCATTCCATCTGTAAACTTTTCACATTTTCAACTTCTTCTTAAGATCCACTGGGCCAATTTTAACCAAATTTGGTTAAAAAACATCCTTGGGTGAAGGGGAGTTTAAATTGTTAAAATAAAGGGCCAAACCCCCTTACAAGGGGAGATAATCAAGAAAAGACAAAAATAGGGTGGGGTCATTAAAATTTCTTCTTCTCAAGAACCACTGGGCCAGAAAAGCTGAAACTTAAGTGGAAGCATTCTGGGGTAGTGTAGATTCTAAATTTTTAAAATCATGACCCCCGGGGGAAGGGCGGGGCCACAATAGGGAATCCAAGTTTCACATTGCAATACATAGAAAAAATCTTTAAAAATCTTCTTCTTAAGAACCACTGGGCCAGAAAATCTGAAACTTATGTTGAAGCATCCTTGGGTAGTGTAGATTCTAAATTATTAAAATCATAACCCCTGGGGGAAGGGTGGGGCCACAATAGGGAATCCAAGTTTTACATTGAAATACATAGAAAAAAAATCTTTAAAAATCTTCTTCTCAAGAACCACTTGGTCGGAAAAGCTAAAACTTTTGTAAAAGCATCCTGGGGCAGCGTAAATTCTAATTTATTCAAATCTTGATACCTGGGGATAGGGCGGGGCCACAATAGGGAATCCAAGTTTTACATTGAAATATATAGGAAAAATCTTTAAAAATTTCCTCCTCAAGAACCACTTGGCCAGTAAAGCTGAAACTTATATGGAAACATCCTGGGGTAGTGTAGATTTTAAATTTTAAAATCATGACCCCCATGGGTAGGGCGGGGCTTCAATAGGTATTACAAAAAGATCGTCTGGTGAAGAACAGCAGGGCCAAAGTTATTCAGGTGAGCGTTGTGGCCCATGGGCCTCTTGTTAAAAATATTCGATGAAATAAAAATGTTCAAACACCCAAGCTCACACCCTCTCACTTAAAAGCAGGATTCTTTGACACATTTCCAGGGGTGTGCAATTAGCATCGCCCGACGCCCGGGGCTACCATTTTTTGGGGTCAGGCTAGTAGTTTTCTGCACGGAGGTAGCCCCTTGGGCTAGTAAAAATTAAAACTACCGATGTAATACATGAAAATAACTATCGGTATTTTCACTCATTTTTTGCTATTAAATTCTCAAGCAATGAAAAATTATCGGCAACATTCTCATACTGTTTGTAAATCTCCATAATCTTATCCATTTTGCAGTACTACCTGACTTACTTACTTCCACAAACGATCATTTTTATCTAATCCGAATTTCCTCTATTCCTCTGTTTATGAAAAATACACATGCAGATATCTCAATAAATTATTACGATCACTCAATCAACTGAAAGATGTGTTATGCGGTTTACATAAAACATATTTCCAGCGTATTTAAAAATGATTTTCATTTCATTTTAGATAAGATAATTTACCTAAATTCATTTTTATTTACTTTCATAATTATTAATTTATAAATGATTTAATTTTACTAGTGATAATTAAACTTTAATTTTAAAAAGAATGACATTAAAACCCTGACTTTTTCAACAATAAACTATTTTCTTTCAATATTAGTTGTTAACCCCCCCCCCCCCCCCCCCCCCCACACACACACACACACATTTGGGCTAGTAACTTTTTACTTGGGACTAGTAACTTTATTGCTGCCACTAGCCCGTGGGCTAGTACTTAATTTTTTAATTGCACACCCCTGATTTCTAACAGACTATAGGCATTTTTTTCAGCTTATTCCTCCCATTAATTTTTTTCAATGTTCGGTTTATAAGCATGTTATTCACTTGAAAAACATATGTCTGTGGTTTATATGCATGAAGCCTGCTGTATAAAAAACTATGCTAGTCATAATACCTTGTTAGATTTAAGAATTTCATTTCATAATACAAAAACAACTACATTGTACATTTTTTTATTTGCATGCTACTATTTATTGCAATAGTCATACAGTTGATGATATTTGATGAAACAGATACTAAGTAGCTCATTTTAGAAAAAGTTTGGTTCCATTTTTTTTCATGGACAAGTACATTTGTTCTTTTTATTGGGTGCAGAGGTTATGGTAGCTGTATGACTTTATGACATGTAAAATGCATGAAACATCAAACATCTAAAAATCAAACTTTTTCATTGTTCATGCCCACACTTTCCTTTTACCTAATAGCCATGGACTTATACAATCATGTATCTTTCTGACTTTTTAAAGCATTTTATAAATCATTTACTTCACTTATTCAGAAGGAGACAGTATTTAAAGCAAATGCTGGTATCATTTACAAATATATGTCTTTTATAAAACGATTTAATAAAAAATCAAAATTATGCATGAATCTTAACACATTTTAGTTTTGATTTGTTCCTTGGGTTCATTTAATGATATAAATTTATACTCTACTATATAGGTGTTCAGCCAACAGCAGAAGAGAAAGCAGTGTGGGAAAAGGTACAGGCTGTTCTAAATGAGAGTCAGACAATCCTACAGGATATACAACAGTATACAGGGGCCACAGAGGACATCAAACAGGTAGGCAGTCCTACAGGATATACAACAGTATACAGGAGCCACAGAGAACACCAAACAGGTAGGCAATCCTACAGGATATACAAAAGTATACAGGGGCCACAGAGGACATCAGACAGGTAGGCAATCCTACAGGATATACAACCTCAAACAGGTAGGAGGTCCTACAGGATAAACAACAGTATACAGGAGCCACAGAGGACATCAAACAGGTAGGTAATCCTACAGGATATACAACAGTATACAGGAGCCACAGAGGACATCAAACAGGTAGGCAATCCTACAGGATATACAACAGTATACAGGGGTCACAGACAACATCAAACAGGTAGGCAATCCTACAGGATATACAACAGAATACAGGGGCCACAGAGGACATCAAACAGGTAGGCAATCCTACAGGATATACAACAGTATACAGGGGCCACAGAGGACATCAAACAGGTAGGCAAACCTACAGGATATACAATCTCAAACAGGTAGGAGGTCCTACAGGATATACAACAGTATACAGGAGCCACAGAGGACATCAAACAGGTAGGCAATCCTACAGGATATACAACAGTATACAGAGGTCACAGACAACATCAAACAGGTAGGCAATCCTACAGGATATACAACAGAATACAGGGGCCACAGAGGACATCAAACAGGTAGGCAATCCTACAGGATATACAACAGTATACAGGGGCCACAGAGGACATCAAACAGGTAGGCAAACCTACAGGATATACAATCTCAAACAGGTAGGAGGTCCTACAGGATATACAACAGTATACAGGAGCCACAGAGGACATCAAACAGGTAGGCAATCCTACAGGATATACAACAGTATACAGAGGTCACAGACAACATCAAACAGGTAGGCAATCCTACAGGATATACAACAGAATACAGAGGCCACAGTGGACATCAAACAGGTAGGCAATCCTACAAGATATACAACAGTATACAGGGGTCACAGACAACATCAAACAGGTAGGCAATCCTACAGGATATACAACAGTATACAGGGGCCACAGAGGACATCAGACAGGTAGGAAATCCTACAAGATATACAACAGTATACAGGGGCCACAGAGGACATCAAACAGGTAGGCAATCCTACAGGATATACAACAGTATACAGGGGCCACAGAGGACATCAGACAGGTAGGCAATCCTACAGAATATACAACAGTATACAGGGGTCACAGACAACATCAAACAGGTAGGGAATCCTACAGGATATACAACAGTATACATAGGCCACACAGGACATAAAACAGAGTGAATACCTTAAAAACCTTTAGGAGTGTAGGGTAGGCAATAGGATATACAGACTGCTGAGGACATAAAATTGGGAGGAAGTTAGGGCTGAATATTATTAATCTCAAGGAGTGTGTGATAGGCAACAGGATATAGGGACCCTAGTTGACAAAAATCAGGCAGGCAGTCAAAGGGATGAATGCCAAAAATCACAAGGAATGAGTATGAACAAATCTAGGGGCTTACTCCTGGCTGCAGGCCCATAAAACTTAGATGAGCTTACCTTTGATCTTAGTCACACTTTTCCACTTTATATCCCTCATGTAAAAGTAAGATTGAGATCAAAAGTGAGCTATCTAAGCATTATGGCCCTGGAGCCTGGAAAATTTTTCATACCCGAAACTCTTCCCATTTATATAAGAGAATTAAGGTTGGTTGTAGAAACTTCAACTGTAAATTTTCTAGCTAACACTGCTTCTTTCTTTGTTTCAGGCCATAAGTAATCCAACAAATGATGGCCTACAAGAGAAGGCATGGGTGGCTGTATGTCCTCTAGTGGGGAGACTGAAAACCTACTTTGAGTTTGCTAATAAATTAGGTATTTATAATAAAATAACTTGAAAAATGATTAAAACACATATTTTGTTTTCTGTACATTCTGTTGAAAATTGTGCTTATCTGTGGAAATGTTTCACAAAGAGTGATTATGAAAAAAAATTCATAATATTTAAAAAAAGAAAAAAATCAAAATTTGTTCTGTTGTCATTGTAAACTTTTCACAATTTTATCTTCTCCAGAACTAGTGGGCTGATTTCAACCAAACTTGGCACAGAGTATCTGTCTATTGAAAGGATCGATGATTAAAAAAAAAAAAAAAAAAAAAAAAAGAAGTAAAAATGGGGTAGGTGCCATAAAAAAATCTTTTCAAGAACCATTGGGCCAAAAAGATTAAACTTATGTGAAAAATTCCTGACAAAGTGAAGATTCATTTTTATTCAAATCATGGCCCCTGGGTGTAGACTGGGGCCACAATGGGGGATCAAGTTTTAAATGGGAAAAATTCTTTAAAAATCTTCTCTAGAACAACAGAACCATAATTAGTGATTTAATATGCAAACATCCCTAGATAGTGCAGATCCAAGTTTTTTTGCTTTGTTTTTTGCTTGGTTTTGTTTTGTTTGATTTTTTTTTTTACATATCATGGCCTCTGGGGATAGGGTGGGGCCAATAAGTGATCAAAGTTTTGCATAGGAATATATATATATATATATATATATATATATATATATATATATATATATATATATATATATATATATATATATATATGTATATATATATATATATAAAATTTCTTTTAAAATCTTCTCAAGTAAGCAGAACCATGATCAGTGATATTGATATGCAAGCATCCCGAGGTAGTTCAGATTCAAGTTTTTTTTTCAAACATGGCCACTTGAGGTTTGGTGTGTCCCCAACAGAGGATCAAAGTTTTACATGCATGGGAATACATAAGAATATATATTTAAAAATCTTCTTAAGTACAGCAGGACCATGATTAGTTTGATTAAGATTGTTCAAGATTGTTCAAATCAAGCCCCAACAGTGAATCAAAGTTTTAAATGGAATTAGATATAGGAATATGCTTAAAAAAATTTCTGAAGTATAACAGGACCATTATTAATAATCTAAATATACAAGCATCCCCAGGTAGTGCAGATTCTAGTTTGTTTAAAACATGGCCCCCTTGGGATAGGATAGTGCCACAGAACGGTATCAATTTTTGACATGGGAGTATGTAGGAAAAAATCAGACAAAATTTTCCTATTACGAACAACAGGGCCATGGTTAGTGATATTGATATGCAAACATTGCCAGGTCATTTAGATTCAAGTTTTGGATCCCTTGGTAGGGTGGGGCCACAATAGAGAAACAAAGAAAAAAAACTTTTGAAAAAATCTTGTAAACATGGTCATGATTTGTCATATTAATATGCAAGCATACTCAGGGAGTGCAGTTTGATTAAATCATGGCCCCTGGGGCTTGAGTGAGGCCAATGTTCTGAAGAAAAGCAGGGCACTTATGACTTAGGTGAGCATTGTGACCCATGGGCCTTTTGTTCTCTTGGAAATACATGTACATGTGTGGGGTTTTTTCCCTATCTTATATATCATTTTTTCAGAGCACACTGTCCATGATTTGCTGGAAGTACTATGTTCAATAGACAAAACTCCTAGGGAGCACTTGGAAACACAGCAGGCTTTATTTAAACAGTTTGCACAGATTTTAGACTTTGTACTTAAGTTTGATGATACAAAGGTAGGCAAAATTCTGCTTTAATTTTACGAGGCCGAGTCTAATTCGCATGCACATGACTTTGCGCAGCTTTTTAGTTTCATACATTCGTAGGTGCAACATAACACTTATCCTAAGTACTGTATTGTAATTTTGATACAAAATTAACGTTATATTACATCATCTGTAACGTTTATATGTCTTAAAATGTGATTTTAAGACAATGATTAGGAATAAACGCTGAAATGGCTTTCACAACGTCAATGTTTTCCGGTTCTCTAAGCAATGCATGACACTGAAGAATGACGCATTACTCACTTGGGTTTTCAAGACGTCCATGGACATTTTATTTAAAACTGTTGACAGAACATCAAGAGGCATACCATTAATCTAAACGTTGTGATTTTTTACCGAAATAATTTATCCGCGTCGTTATATACAAATGTATGCCGCGATATTGCAAATATAGAGGTATTGGGCATTGGAAAAAAAATAAACTTTTTAAAAAATTCCTAGACCAAACCAGATGGTGAGCTTTTTGAAATTTCACAATGTGGTGATTTTTTACAATAACTTTCATGTATTTGACTGAAACAGAAATCCCAAGGGCAGAAATACAAAAAAACAAGGGGAAAATGTGATAATTTGGCACTTTTCCAACAAATTTCCAAAGAGTGCAATAGTAGAATTTGACAACTTTTGAGATGGCCCCCTAAGAAAACTTTTGAGATGGCCCCCTAAGAAATCGGGATGGTAAACATTTGATTTTTTTTATCGTAAAATAATTAATATAATAGTAAAAATTCATTTAAGAAAAATTTATCAAAATATCTAGGGTGGAAATAATTAGACTCGGCATTAAATTCAACATTAAGTTCTTCCATTGATACTGAAGCTGTGAAAATGTATTACGTGATGTAATCAATGAAGTCAACATTTTCTAAAATTAAATATTGATTGTTCTTTAAAAGTTTAATGAGTTTTATGTTACATGTTTATTTATACCATTATCTTGAATGGAGTACCATAGATTTAAACAGAAACATTTTTATGAGACAATAAGAAGAATGATGCACACTAGGGACCAATGCATGGCATCAGATTAAAGAAACATTTTTTTTGTATCTAAACTAAAAAATATGGAATGAATAGTCATTGCTCCAGAATGGGTTGCTGTAAAATGTACTTATGATTCAAGAACATGTACGTGCCTGGGGAAACTTGAGTGGATTGTACTGTTAATAAATCTGTTATCTGTTTTTATTTCAGATGATAAACCCTTCAATACAGAATGACTTTAGTTATTACCGAAGAACACTGAGTCGAATGAAAATGGCAAATGAAGTAAGAATAAGCATTTTATTATGTGACTTCTTTGTTTTACATAAACATATAGGTAATCTTGAATACAAGAACTCTGTAATGTGTTAAATAATATTAAGTTCCTTTGAATTTATTTTATTATGCTCCACAATGAATATGACCGGGGCTTATAATGTTTGACATATCCATCTTCCATTCTTCAGTGTAGCTGTCCTTCCGTCCTTCTATCCTTCTATCACACTTTGTGTTGAGCTCAGTTTCAAAGAAACTATTCAAGATATTTTTTTTTTCAAAACTCATATGCTGATACATATTGATGAAAACTATTCAACTGCATCAACATTTTTTGCCTTGACCTTTCCTTTGACCTTGACTTCACTTTTCTTTTAGTGTTTAGCTCAATTTCAAAGAAATTATTCAAGATATTTTTATCAAACCATATATACTGATACTTACTGGTGAGAACTATTCAACTTCATCAACATTTTTGACCTTGACCTTTCCTTTGACCAAGACTTCATGTTTCTTAATTTTGTGTTTAGCATATTCAAGCAATATTCAAGATATTTTCATCATACTTCATATGCTTATACATATTGATAAGAGCTATTCAACTGCCTCAATGTTTTGACCTGGACGTTTCCTTTGACCTTGACCTCCCTTTTCTCAAATTTATGTTTAGGTCAGTTTTGAAGATAACTATTCTAGATATTTTTGTGTAAGCTTATGCACTAATACATTATTTGGTGAGAATTTATCAACTTTGTCCATTTTTTTTTACCTTGACCTTCCCAGTGACCTTTGACTTTACTATTCAGTGTGTATAAACCCTAGTTTTCAAGATATTTTCATCAAACTTCATACACTAATATGAATTTTCATGTTGCGTTACTAAATGAGTCTTGGGCAGAGCATTCATGTCCTATGGACACATTTCTAGTTTGAAATATGTAAGTGGTGAGTAGTTTTCAGTATTAATATTTTAATTTACAGGATGACAACCAGGGCAGTGAGAATGTTGTTTCCAATGAAATGGCCAACAGGATGTCACTGTTCTATGCCCCAGCTACACCAATGTTAAAGGTACTTGGCGAGGCAACCACAAAGTTTGTGTCCACCCACAAAGAACTGCCCGTGGAGAACACCACTGACTGTCTGAGTACAATGGCCAATATCTGTAGGGTTATGATTGAAACTCCGTAAGTAATCAGGTTTCCAGTGCTTCAACTGCAAAGGAAATGTTGGTATCCTTAGTTAAATTCTATGAATTCTGTGTTATGGTCTCACAAATTATATACTGTAATGGATAAGTGAAATTATTCCTGTCTCAAAGGAGAATCTTGTCAATTCATATGCTCACATTTTATTTTGCATAAAAAATGTTCAACTGGGTCACAATGCATGTGATCATTAGAGAAAATTATCATAGATAATGTGTGTATATTTATACTATTCATTTGCATGTTCAATTTCATTTCTGTATTCTTAACAGGGAGTATGTAGCTAGATTCCAAAACAGTGAAACCAAATTATTTTGTCTACGTGTAATGGTGGGAGTAATAATTCTCTATGACCATGTACATCCTGTTGGAGCATTTGCCAAATCATCAACTATAGATGTAAGTTTTATCTTTAGAAAAAAAACAGTAAAGATCTGCTTTCCTTCACAACAACTGTTAAAGCACTTAAGGCAGTGAATGGGCAATACATTTCTGTGTCTACACTCTGCAAGAAATATATATACATTCTTGAAAAGATTATATTCTCAGTGTTTTTAATTTAGTGTATTCAAATATTAAGTGCAAACATAGAATGGGGTCTATTTGGTGCAGTCTGGAATACTTAGTATTGTGATTATAACTTACTGACACTCCTTTGTGGCAAAGTCGAGGAAGCTCTAAATCTTGCAAGATTTTTGGGGCATAACATTGTTTTAGACTTAAGTGACGAACAAATTATTTGAACTACATGTATTAGAATGGTGAAAATACAGTGTATTGTCTAGGATTGAACTCCAAATAGTAGGTTTTGTCTAATTAGGGATGTTTAGGGTATTTTATCAGCTTTCAAAAGTAACAAGTATCAAACAGAAATGGTTGAATTTAATTAGAAGATCGCAAGTCCGCTTATATAAGTGAAAAAAAAATAACGCATGAGGACTAGCTCCTCTCAAGTTTTACTAGTGTGGTTCAGCTAATATTCAGCAAGATGCTTCACCAGGACTTCTTAATATGTTCTTTAAAAATCCACAATGATCAATCTTGTGTTGTATTCAACAGCACATTGTCCCCAGGTAAAAGATTTTTCCTACTTCCTCTGGGAAAGAGTTCCATTAAGTAATCACAATTTCAAGTATTGGCAAATAAAAAAAAATGAATCCAACTAACATAAGTACATGTAAAGAACATGAAAATTAAAATGTTGAATCAATTCAGAAGAAATAATGTGCCTAGTAAAAGATGGAAAATCTGAGAGAGAATTTAAAAAAGTAAATAAATGCTTGATATCGCAATTACTTAACTTAAGGGAACTCTTTTGTGGTGGAGGTAGGAAACATTAATTAGCTGGGGCAACATGCTGTTGAATACACTGGGAGATCGATCACTGTAGATTTTTAAAGGACATTTAAGAAAGAAGTCCTGGTGAAATATCTTGTTAAATGTTAATTGCACCACAGTGATAAAATTTAGGAGATGCTAGTTGTCTTGTGTTACATTTCTGTAGATATTTTCTGTTAAGACGACTCTTCTAATAATAAATTTCTGATGAGCATTACTTTTGGAAGTCTAAACATTCTGAATAAGAGGACTTACTTTCTGAAGTGCAACCACTGGTAATACATTGCACTTTCAGCATACCTGTTCAAATCATTCAATTGTCACTAGCGTAAACAATATTTAATGCCCCAAAAAATGATGTGAGATTTAGAGCTTTCTTGAATTTATCACAAAAGAGCGACAGTAAGTTAGATATATAACCACGAGGTAATCCTGATACTAAGTATTGAACATTTATTATAAAATTGTTAAAGACATCTTCACAAACCCTGCTCAGAACAAACTAGTTCAAAAGTTAAACATTCAAATTACAGACATTGAATTTTTCTTTTTTTAATGGGAAAAAAATTAAATTGATATTAAATTCCCTACTTGTAATGAACTTCAAAGTTACAATTGTAGTACTTGTATGTGTATGAGGACTGTGCATTTTCATCTTTAGATGGTTAATCAAATTCTGATGTAAGGCTAATAATAAACCCTCTTTTCATTTTGACTTTAAGGAATCGATGCATATATTTCAGATCAAAAGTTGTATCAAAGTACTGAAAGAACAAGAACCAGGAAGAGTAGAGGGCTTGTTAAATGCCTTAAGGTAAAGTCATTCTGAAGAAAATATTTTGGGATGTGAATATTTTTGAAAATAACTTTAGTTGCAAAATGCTGCCATATAGCCAATTGAAACTTTTTTTGAAGAAGGACGAACCAATTCTCTATACAAACTATTGATTTAGTTCACAGTGAGTTTCCAGTGTTGCATGTACAATGTAAAATATATTTCAAAAAAACATTTAAAGGACACATGTAAATCTCTTTATTTCCAAGTAAAGACACAGTATCTGTTTGGCCTTTGCAAGATTCCTTGATAGAATTTGTGGATAAGTTCATATTTGAAAACATTTTGTGTCTTAGCATTGCCAAGGTAAATAATACCAATAAGACATCCCATTATAGCGTCTGATATTAAGAAATTGATTTGTATGTAAAAATATTTGTAAATAATATTCAGATACAAATTTCTTTCAATATTGTTCCAGATAAACATATCTGATTCAGTGATGCCAGCTAGTTTATATCCAATCCATATACATGTGTATAGAGAATTGTAAGCGTGAAAGAATTATATAAATGTGTAACTGTTAATTCTTGTTTACCCATGATCTCCTTGGTAAAATTGATCATTCCAAACAAAAAAAAAGTATTACTTATTTTCCTATTATTTTATTTACAGTATCATTTCATTGATTTCTGCAAAAAATTTTAGCTCACCTGAGCTGAAGTCTAAAGTGAGTTTGTCTGGTCAAAATTTGTCCATTGTCTGTCGTCATCGTAAAGTTTAAACATTGTCATCATCTTCTCCAGAACCACTGGGCCAATTTCAACAAACTTTGCACAGAGTATTCTAGGGTAAAGGGGATTCAATTTTGTTCAAATGAAAGGCCAAGCCCTCTTCAAAAGGGGGGAAAATTAAGAAAAAATAAAGAAATTGAGTGAGGTCATTCAACTTCTCAAGAACCACTGGGCCAGAAAGGATGAAACTTATGTGGAAGCTTCCTGACATAGTGTAGATTCAAATTTGTTCAAATTATGACCCCCTGGGGATGGGGGGGGGCACTATGGGCAATCAAATTTTTACATAGAAATATATCTTTTTAAAAAATGTAAAAATCTTCTTCTCAAAGAATAGAAAGGCCATGATCAGTCATATTTATATGGAAGCATCCACAGGTAATGTATTCTCAAATTTGTTTAAAACATTAAACCCTTTTGGGTAGGGCCTAGCCACAATGGGCAATCAGAGTTTTATATAGGAATGCATAAAAAATCTTTTAAAAAAATTTCCCAGGAATAGCAAAGTCATGATTAGTCAAATTTATAAAGAAGCATCTTTAGATACATGTAGTGTAGATTTAAGTTTGTTCAAATGATAACCCCCAGGGATATGGTGGGTCTACAAAGAGTGCTCAAATTTTACATTCATGGGGTATGGTGGGTCTACAAAGAGTGATCAAATTTTACATTCATGGGAATAAATAGGAAAAAGAATCTGCTGGTAAACAAGAAGGGCCACAGTTACCCAGGTAAGCTTTGTGGCCCATGGGCCTCTTGTTATTTTAATTGAAATAAGAATTTTTTTTTGACCAACAGAAGTTATTTGATAGAATTTAAATTATAGAAATGATTGTGATGAAGTCCATGACATTTAATTCTGTTTAATATAGCATATTTCTGGTTTTATTGGTATATTGCAATTTTATATTAATTATCTTTACAGATATACAACAAAAACATTAAATGATGAAACAACACCAAAAACAATTAAAGCTATGCTTGCAGGCTGAGCACGTGTTTCATATGTAGACAAATCGATGCTTTACATTAATTCACTGCATATTTTTCTTGTTTCTGTGTGTGATTGTGCTACCAAGTGTTCAGACTGACAATGGTGTGTTTTATGGATGAGTGACTGGAGTTGTCTTTGCTTACATGAGATATTGGCAGCTGATGTTTTAATGTCCGGGAGTTATAACAACATGTTACCATGGAGAATTGTGATGTCATTGTAAGACAAAGAGGAGTGGAAATACAGAATACTTTCCTCATTTAGTTGTGGACTGCATTTTGATGAATTACATTTCCTTAATTTTGTGGCAGGATCCAAAGAACCCAAATAAATTTTTTTTTTTTTTTTTTTTTTTTTTGAAAGGCTGAACACCATGTTTTTGCATTGAAAAAAAATCAGTGTCTGTTAAAATCAGGTGCTTTTTATTACATCTGTTATCACCTGCATGCTTTTCCCCCTTTTCTTATTTATGGTGAATATTGATTTGATACCGGTATATCACATTCATGTACCTACTACCATCCATTTGTCAAGTAAGGAGCAGTTCTGATATAAGTGCTATTTTTCATATGTCCAATAGTCTTTTTTCCCCTTAACAAAGTTGAGGTAGAAAAAACATAAAATCAGGGTTAGATTAGTTGTAGATTGAAGTGATAGTCTTAGGTTACTAATCAACATTTCATTGAATGGGTGATTTTTGAAATACATTGTCCTTGAAGAGAAAAACTTTTTAATTATGTTTATATTTTTAATAATAATTTTGAACTATTCATGAATTGAGCTTTTCACAAAACCTAGCTAGAATTACCAAATGTGGTGTATATAATTAATTAATTATGTATCTTTTTGTGCTATATATTATTCCTTACATGTCAGATTATTATAAAAAGATACATGTATTAATGTATGTTGTTAAATGTGTGTGATATGAAAAAAGAAATATCACATATGATATTACCATAAAAGAGGTTATTTTAGTGACAGGCAAATTTTGCAATTTTTAAAGTGGGAACGTTTTATCAGCATAATTAATTTTCAGCGATTTTTTTGGATTCCTCTATTTATATTTGTCGATCTAATTTTATTTTACTTTCAATACTAAAATCTTTTTGGTTTAGATGCTTGTTACAATTTTTAATGTCACACTCAGAATTAGCAACATACTTGGAAACAGGTTAGGACAGCGATAATATCACATGCTTGTAATTTATGCATGTACGGTTCATAGATTTCTCAAAACATCAGTTTTGTGTTTGAAAGAAGCCAAATAAACTTGATGTCAATCAAAGCTGTCGATATAAGATTGATTGAAAACAACAAACAGCAGATGAAAAATTCTTGTGACAATCTCCGACTTTTATTTGTTGATGTCATATTTCAATGAGACATTCAGTAAAATAAGATAAATGGGGAATGTTTTTGAGAGTAACAGTTGAAACTGACACCCATCAGAAAACTATTGTCACCCTCGGCAGAGGCATCAGTTTACAATGGTTTTCGGGTGTCAATTTCAACTGCTACCCTCCAAAACATGCACCGTTTATATAATTTATATTACATATATTTTAAGCATTGCCAGGACCATCGCTAATAATGCCAAGATAGACTGTCCCTAAAAATTCCTGTCATATGGTAATGTTAATCCAAAACAAACAAAATATTTAGGATCAATAAGAAAATACACGTATTTATATTGTATATCTTTTTTAGTACTAAAGAATGTTTATTTTTATCCAGTATTAATGCAGTAATTGCATTGTAATAGACATTTAAGTAAACAATGAGGGTTAGTTTAAATATTGAGTGTTTGAAAATCTGTCCATGACAAATTTAGAAGGGTATTTCTTGACATCAGTAGTTATGTACCGGTAATCTAACAGTCTGTCAGACCTTGTGTTTTTTCAATCTTTACACTTAATATAATTTTCTATCTCTATAAATTTGGGTTTTGGAAATAACATCAAAACTTCATAAAAATAGACAATTCCATGTTTCATGTAACACATAAAAATGCATAATGAAATAAAAGTGCTGCAGTATTTTGAATTAGCTTGTACACCAAGGCTTGGTGTTTGTCAGACACAGTTTCTTAATTTTTCTTTAAATTTTGTAATATTTTTTTTATTCAGTATTAGTGAAAATATGTAATTTTCTTATAAGTTTTTCAATAATAATTAATAGAGGTAGACATTTTCAATAAAAAATTGTTTTAGGGGAGATGAAAAAAAAACCCAGTAATATTATAAAACTACATAGATGTGATGTTACAGATTATGCATATGAATACATTTTAGTAATTTGTTTTGAAAAACTTCATCAGCTCAAGTAAATGTAATGTAGTTGTTTTAATATATATGACATGTATGATGTTTAACACATTCCAATTTCAGCATATCGGCCTGTACATGTAAATGTATTGTGTAATCATCTGAGAATAAGGGTGGTTGTGTTTGTTTATAAGAACTGTTTTAAAAAGTAAATACAAACTGGTACAAGAGAGCTTATTGTTGAGTATATATTATGTACTGCATTTATAGCTTTATGTCAGTAACCATTTGCTTTATTTAAGATATTAAGATGTATTTCTTTAGAATGCCATCTTTTTCTAACTTTTCTACTACAGTATACTGGGTATAACATACCTTTGTGAAAATTCTTTTATTTGATATATAATTCCATATAATTTTTTTTATTCTCTGTCTTTTCTATGCAAAGATAAACCACATTGTTCAGTGCATGCTATTAAATTTTTTTTTGACCTACTACCTTGTCTTTCTGATTGCTTAACCAAATCCATCCTCACAACGTTAGGGGTCCTGTGTCAACTCAATGGGACCCCTGACATATTTCATTCATGTCTATTTGGGGTTTGGGGGTTGCTTCTTTCATTGAGAGGCACCAATGGAATTGAAGTAGACAGATAATGTAAACAGAAAGGCTTAATTTGATTGCTTGAGAGATTAGAAAAACAAACAAGATTTGTAATTTTCCCGAAAGATGTCGCAGCACTCAGCCTGTAAGATACTGAATGAAATTTGTCAGGGGTCCCACAGCAATGAGTTGACACAGGACCCCTGATGTTGTCAGGAAGAACCACCTCCTTTGTAAAAAACACTTTGTTAGAGAATGATCATATCACCTTAGGTAAGCTTTGTGTACTTTTGTGATAGATACCATTTTTTCTCTCTTGGTGTTCTGTATTGTCTTCAGTTACTAGAATACATGGCATTCACTGAGAAGACTGTAATAATTGTTTTGTTAGAGATGTGTGTTGCAGAATTACATTGGCCATTTTAAGACTATAAAAAATATCAATTTTATATAGATCAAAGAAAATAAATGTTGAAAACCTGTATGTTTTTTTTTAATTATGAACTATTATTCATATTCTGAAGCTTTTTTAGCCTGGAGATCAACCAGGCTCTGGATTTTTTTTTTTTTTAGCTTTCTGAGTTGATAAAATTGTTATGCCCCCCTTCAAAGAGGGAAGGGCATATTGCTTTGCTGCTGTCTGTTGGTCGGTCAGTCTGTCTGTCGGTCCACCAACAGTTTCCGTTCATGTTCTAGGCAGAGGTTGCACATAATGAAATGAAATTTGATATACAGATTTATCATAAGAATATCTAGGTCAAGTTTTGTTTTGGGTTCAATTGAGCAATTTTTTACAGAGTTATGCCCCTTGGACTTAGAAAAATTCTAATTATTTGCAGTTTCCATTCATTTTCTTTGCAGAGGTTGCACATACTGAAATGAAATTTGGTATACAGATTTATCATAAGAATATCTAGGCCGAGTTCTGTTTTGGGTACAATTGAGCAATTTTTGACAGCTATGCCCCTTGGACTTAAAAAAATTCTAATTATTTGCAGTTTCCATTCATTTTCTTTGCAGAGGTTGCACAAACTGAAATGAAATTTGGTATACAGATTTATCATAAGAATATTTAGGTCAAGTTTGGTTTTGGGTACAATCGAGCAATTTTTGACAGAGTTATGCCCCTTGGACTTAGGAAAATTCTAATTATTTGCAGTTTCCATTCATTTTCTTTGCAGAGGTTGCACAAACTTAAATGAAATTTGGTATACAGATTTATCATAAGAATATTTAGGTCTAGCTGCAGAACTGTAGCTCTCTGGTTGAGAAAATTCGGACAGATAAACCAGAGAGCTACAGATCCAAGCATTGTAAAAACCTTCGATTCACGCCGCTGCTTTTTTGTCGCTCGCTTCGGGTTTTATTTCTTGTATTTTATGCTTTCCCCCGCTTTAAGAATAGTATCCGATAATTAACCATATATTTTACTCTTATTCCTGATACTTTATTTACCTTTCAACGGTCCAAACGGCCGTATGTGGAGTATGGAATATCAGTTGAAAAAATGCATTCCGACATCCATGATTCATTGATGTCGTCCTGAAATAACACGCCCGAGTTTTATTTATCTTATTTCTTTTTTACGTACATATTGTCTTCTTTATAGACAATATTCATGATATTTGAACCTCCTGTATTTTAAATATTTTTTTATTTACATTTTCTCGACAAGTGCATGTATGTTCTTTGAGAGGCCTTTTTTCACACAACCCCAATATGGACATCTGAATATTTTAATCCGACATTTCACAACCATTCATGGCTGTTTGGGACCTTTGAAAGGTAAAAAAATATTAAGAATAGGAGTAAAAATATATGTTTAATTATCGGATACCATTCTCAAAGCGGGGGAAGGCATAAAATGCAAGAAATAATACCCGAATCGAGCGACAAAAAAGCGGCGGCGTAAATCGAAGGTTTTTACAACACTTGGATCTGTAGCTCTCTGGTTTATCTGTCCAAATTTTTTCAACCAGAGAGCTACAGTTCTGCAGCTGATTTAGGTCAAGTTTGGTTTTGGGTACAATCGAGCAATTTTTGACAGAGTTATGCCCCTTGGACGTAGGAAAATTCCACTTATTTGCTGTTTCTGTTCATTTTCTTTGCAGAGGTGGCAAATACTGAGATGAAATTTGGTATACAGATTTATCATAAGAATATCTAGGTCAAGTTCTGTTTTGGGTTTAATTGAGCAATTTTTGACAAAGTTATGCCCCTTTGACTTAGGAAAATTCCAATTATTTGCTGTTTCTGTTAATTTTCTTTGCAGAGGTTGTACATACTGAAATGAAATTTGGTATACAGATTTATCATAAATAAAAATATCTAGGCCAAGTTCTGTTTTGTGCACAATAGAGCAATTTTTGACAGAGTTATGCCCCTTGGACTTTAAAAAATTCCAATTATTTGCAGTTTCTGTTCATTTTCTTCGCAGAGGTTGCACATACTAAAATGAAATTTGGTATACAGATTCATCATAAAAATATCTAAGTTAACTTCTGTTTTGGGTATGATGGAGCAATTTTTGATAGAGTTATGCCCCTTGGACTTGGAAAAATTCCAATTATTTTTTTTGGGGGGGGGGGGGCATAATGGTTCACAAACATCTCTTGTTTCTATCATTATGTCCCTTGATATTTTTGACTTCCTCATAACTTTTTATTGCAAAAGTTGAAGGAAATATAGTCATATATAAAAGAATTGTCTTTCATGTAATACCTAGATTTAAAGATGAACATGATATTTGTTATTTATGTTCAAATTAAAATTTTCACCAATTTTGAACTTGAATAACCCCATGTTTCTATAATTGAATTGGCTTAAAACTGTGTCTGATATTTAAATGCGGAGTCGGTAAGTAAATTGGTTATTGTTTTAAATTTCTAATTCTATGAAACGCAATTGATTTAAATTGTGTAATTTACAGGAAAGTCCTATCTTTATATAAAGTAATAAAAGAAATAGAAAGATCTTTTTAATTTTAGTTAGTCTGAACTTCTCAAAAATATGCCATATATGACTTTAATAAAAATACATATGAATATATGGTATGTTAGGATTTACTCAATTAGAAAATCCATCTTGTATTATACACACTGAATTAAAGAAACCACTTGCATAAATTCCATGTATACTGAACCATTCCTATCCCACAACATGATAGTTTACTGTAAAAGACTAAATGGCATGGCTAAAAACCTTTATATGATGTTTTGGCTAAAGGGAGGTGTTTTCTAAAGAATATGCTTGCTTCTTAATTTATATGAGGTAAATAAATGTGGAAGGTTATTGGAGGGAAAAAGATATGAAAAGGAAATGTGATTATAGTGCTTTGAAATTTAGTTGTTCATTTCCTCCCTTCTACCCCCACTGTGTGGTCACATTCCCAACATTAATAATTTACTTCAGGTGTACAGATAAAAAATTAAACAAATGTCAAACAAGTAATTTCAATCAAATGTTAACAACTGTACAGTAAAACTCAGTTATATAAAGAACTTGCTTATATATAAGGAAAATTTGGCTAAATAAGGAACTTTTTATGAATCCTGTAGAAGACATTGACTTTGTTTCTTATATGAATATTTGAATCTCAGACATAAGGAAGCAAGCTGTATTTAAATTCAGCACGATCAAATTTTGATATCATGGTGATTTGGACAAACTCCTGAGTGAGTTACACTGAATTCATGGTGAATGCTAATTATAAAACTAAACATGTCTCCCTCCTCTTTGACCATATCTCTTGACATCACCAAAGGGCCTTGAAGTTATATGCTATCCTTGAATCAAGGTCATAACATCTCTCATGTAATGTATGCAACAACTATGCACTTACCTCCCAATTCATTTCAGTTAATTGAGTTCCAAATACATGTACTAGTATATGACTCAGACACAGTTTAAACATTTCATTGCCTATGACCAGAGTGACCTTTTAGATATAACCTTGAGTCAAGATCTTGATAAATTGTAATCAAATGCAATAAATACTAAAGATTGATCTCATTTCCATACCAAGACCCAATGTTATAGCCTGCACACTAGCATTTTATGGCCCAGTGACCTAATGGCCTTCAAGACATACTATTAAAATTTTCAAATTTCTTTGTCTGAGATAAAAGAACAAATAATTAAAAAAAAACTTGATCTCTTTATAAAGCTATTGGTTCATCGATAGGTGTTGTTTTAAAAAAAAAATCATATGCGGGGCAGGAAAGAGAGAAAGTGGGTTGGGCTTGGAGCACTGAATTTACAGAATCATGTAAATATAAGGAATACCTGTCTGTTTTTTTTGGTTTTATGATGATGATCAAGCAAAATTTTGGCTTTTGTGATAATTTTATGCAAAAATGCCTTCAGTGTTTATACAAATTATCACACAAGCAAATTGCTTGATCACAGTATAAGACAAAAATACTAGACAGTCAATATTCCATAAATAGAGAAGATACTAAGAAATGGTAAACCTTCAGGTCATGGGTAACAACATAAGAATCAAAGGATGATTCCACTAGGTCAGCCGATGCACTAATTTTGACAGATAAAGAATGAAGCAGAAATTATCTCGGTTATACAATAAATGGGTTACATTGAAATTGGCTATGTTTAAACTCTGTATTTATAGAATTGTTATGCTCAATAATTAAAGATTATGTTTTAAAATTTAAGGATACAAAGCACAAACAAAATTTGATGCATGGATTGGTATATATTTAAATATACTGATATGTATATATTTTTTGACTGATTTTGAATAGAAATGACATAAATCCCTAAACTATAAAGATATCCCAAGTTTTTAGATATGCGAAATTTTCTATGTAATCCTTTACAAAATTTTGCACACATTTTTTTCCCCACTTTACCTGGTAAACATTATTCAGGTTACTTACTTGAATATAAATCTATAAGTCTCAGAAATATTGCTGATTTCTGGGGAAAAAAAAGTTTGTGTTATTTATTCTTAAACTGCAGAATTTAAATAATTGGTGCTATTTCAATTCATACAAGTATTCTGATATCTATAAACTTTTTTAAATGTCATTTGGCAACAATGTGTTGTTTCTCTATTTTATCATTATTTGTCATAGCATTGAAACTTCTCTTTATATTAAACTGAAGTCAGTAACAGAGACAGAGATTTATGCACTAGCTTTGATATTTGAAAGAAAAATCCTTAAAACAACACATCTGGTAGTGTAAGATACATGGCATCCTACTAGCTTGGGTTAGTGGGTTAACCCTTTAGCTTGATCAGCAGAGCACTGGACTGGCATGTCAGAAGTACAGGGTTCAAATCCATTCGGAGGCACATATGGTGCCCATGTTGGGA